GTCAGAGATGGTTCACGAGTCGGCCACTCGGCCTACAATACCAAGCTAGACATTTTTATTCAATGACCCATGAAGACAAATCCTATCAGCTCGGTTAATTTAAAAAAAAAAAAAAAAAACTTAAAACTTAAAACTTAAAAATGTTATTGCTATGCCACAATGATGGTTCCACGTGCCAGTTCAATCCACACTTTTGATAAACGGCTCGAGTCTAGGTTGACTCTAAATTTACTTGAAGTTAGTTGAACACCGTTTTTACAAAATTTAGATGATAATTCAACATTCTAACGTTATTAATAATATTTTAAAATTAAATTAATCTATATGCCTACCCTATCTCCATCCACTCAAATCCTAAATATTTTCCTCTCCCCTTCTCTCTCTACATCTATGTCATTTCTCTCTTCTTTTTCTTTAACACACCCAACCACCACCGAAGGCGACGTTGCGCACAACACCGCCAATGCAATAGCAGCACAATACAAATAGGATCTAGCCTATTTGTTGAACCCTTACCCCATTCGTTGCACTAAAACACAAATCCAAAACACAGACGAAGTAAGTGACGGTGTCACTGTTGAATTCGAAGATTTGAGATTTGTGGAGTCATCTTCGGCATCATGACGCATCAGCTTAGATGGTTAATGCTATCGTGGTTTTCAACAGCAATGACATCATCTTCGATTATGATTAGATCTGCTCTGCAATGCTTTTCATGTTGCCATCGTAGTGGTGATGAGGTGCTGATAGTGGTGAAATGCTAGTGATGGTAATGAATCTGCTTGGGATGTGGTGGTGGTAATGGTGTGACGGGGGGTGGTGATAATTTTGGATTTAATTTTTTGGATCTGATTTTTGGTGATGTTTGGATAGTGATGGTCATGATGTTGGCTATGAGGATAAGGTTGTGGTGATGTTGGCGGTGCAAGTGAGGGGTGGTCGTGGCGATGGTACGGTGGGTGAGGTGTTTTTGACCAATTATTTGGTTGATTGAAATCAATAAATTGGTTAATTTGTGACCAATAAATAATATGTGACTAATTAAATAGATAATTTGTGACCTAAAATTTTGTTAAATCGTGATCAATAATTTGATTATTCGTGACCTATAATTATTTAGGGATCAATAATTTGTTAATTTGTGACCATGACATAAGTTGTTACTTATAAAATTTGTGATTTATGACTAAAGAATAATATGTGATCTATTAATCTAAAAAATTTGTAATCGAGAAATAATTTATGACCTATAAAATTTGTAATTTGTGATTGTGGCGTTTGTAATCGTGACTAATACATAACTTTGACCATAAATTATATACTATTTGTGACCTTAATATATTTAATTAATAATATATGTTTAATTAATTATTTTATAAATAAAATTTAATGAATATCTGATTTTTGAAATAATAAACATTGTTTCTTAATTTTGAAATGAGTCAAACTTAATATGTTATATATAAAATTTTCCTTAGAATATTTTGCACATAAACCCAAAACATTTTCCTACCATTTAACTATACATTCTTCAAAGTTTTAATATTACAAAACTAACATTGATGAAATAATGGGCATCAAACAAGTACTAGAGAAGTTGAAAATGAAGAATCATGCAAAATTGTTTAGGCAAATACAAAAAGTGTGCTCGTGGAAAAGTGGAAATTGCACCACCTACCTAAAATTGTAAACATATTCAAAAAATACTTTTACTTTTTTTTTTTAATCCCAGAATTACAACACAAATATAAGTGAAAAATGAAATGAAAAACAACACAATTTCTAATAGTATTAAACATGCCAACTTAATTCACTCCACCAAACATGCCCTTCACATAATTTTGACAACCATCAAAATCCCCAAATTGTGCACTTTCCATTTATCTAAAATCACTATATCTCTTATCAATGATCCATCAAAGAATCAACATCTTGAAGGATAATTCATCACAAATTTGCAGCAAAAGTCCTAAACCACAATATCATTCAAAAATCGATTTCAAGATCATTGTCTTCACGTCATTTTGAATCCATATAATAGACGGAGGTGAAGTCAAGAAACCACAATGAAAATAATAAATCATCCTCTAATGTTGAAGTTACAAATCAAGGTTTACAACCATTATGGCATCACCAACTCGCTTACCAGATTCGTGTTCCAACAAGAACAAGCAAAAAGTCGAAGATGCACCACCTGCAGCAAATTCTCGTCGATTCTCTTTGGGGTCGGTATGGGTTCAACAAGAAGTAGCTTGTACACTAGATGTGATAGGCCCAAAACGCCGATTAGCATTGGGTTCATTGAAGAAACAACAAATAGACAATTATTTTAAGTCAGTGGAGATTATCGAACCCAAAAGTGAATTACGCAAGTCTCCTTCACTACGCATTACTAGAACTATATTTCCAAAATATTATAGGATTGTTACACACATTTCATTGCATCCTTCGAATTCAAGGACAGGGGATCTAGACAAATTGTGAAATTTGATTCAAAATGACTTAGAAATCTACGACACGACTTGTTCTACATATGATGTAATACACCAATATTATTACAATTCAATTATCTGATTTAGTGGGTTTAAGCAAGATATTTGAAACCACAAAGAGTTTGGAAGTTAAACTGTAATATTGATGGGATTTGATAGAAACTTTCGAGCACGTCCACTCGACTAGGCCGAGTTTGAAGCATGCAGGGGCGGACCTAGCACCCGGCGAACTGAATCTGTCAAGAATTTTTTTTTGTTTGACAATAAATAAATTTGTTAGCTTATATAACGGTTATTTCATTTTATTTTCAAACGCCTCATTCAGTTGAGTTAGTTAGAGTTTGCAATTCTTATGAGATGTCTCCAGTTCGATTCCCTAGCTTGCAATTCATATATTTTTAGTTCTCCAATTTTTACCATTTTACAATTTTTATCAAAATCAATGGCAATTGGGAGGGGAGAGTCGAACCCGTGACTAGATTATTGGAATCCTTTCCATTAGAGCACTTGTTGAGTTTGATATTATTGCTAACATATATATATATATATAT